TGCCAGCATGTCAGAGGCAGCCGTTCCAAGTCATCCACAACCTAATATGGAAAAATAGTTCTATTTTAAGAAGGAAAAAAAAAAGGTGCACGATAGGTTTTAGATGAGAAATAATTTGGGAGTGATATTGAAAATGATATCAACACTTCAATCCTGCCAAGTGCATTCTATAATTAATAACTACTTCAGATGTAGTGACTTCCTTTTGAATGTGCAGTATTAAACATTTAAATCCCTATCTGTAAATATGAGGCTGTGGCAGATATCTCCATAAGCCTTGCAGCTACATGCTAATGTATATTTATACTCTAGATAGGTATTTTTAGCAAGAACTACAAGTTCTTTCTGTATGTGATTACATCAGAGCTCAGAGCTCTGTTTTAGATTAAATGCCTGGGTTGCAAAAATATCCCTTTCTTTTCTCTTCTCTTGGGGTTTTGCAAGAATTTCTGCCCTTGTCTTGTATCTTTTTCTTTCCTGCCCACCTGCATTAATGCACCATCGAAGACGGCTATATGTTTTTTTTTCCCCCTTCTCCCTCCTAAAAAAAGACAAAACATCTAAAACTAGAAGAAATCAAGCAACAAACCAGCTCCTGGTGTTTCCCACCTTGCAGCTTGAGCTAGCCTGCAATCAGGACATGCCAGGACAACTGCCACCCCTTATGGCTACACGTGGTGTGACCAGTGTCCTGCTGTGGAAAGCAACAGCAAAGGATTCCTTCTGGAAACCTCAGTCCTCTGGGTATTAATTCTACTGTTTTTGTAGCTTTGCTCTCCCACAGGACCAGCCATGCTTTTGTGGGAATCTTGCCCACGTCAAAGCAGCAGGATTGAACCCAGGTCCTCATCCAGCCCAAGACAAGGCTGGGCGTGTACTGTCTTTCCAGGGGAGGGACTATCTTTTGAAATGTCCACTCCACTTTCAAGCCTCATGGAGCTCGTGAGGAAAGGCAGATATATCATAGAATCATAGAATGGTTTGGGTTGTAAGGGACCTTAAAGATCATCTAATCCCAACCCCTGCCATGGGCAGGGACACCTCCTACTAGACCAGGTTGCTCAAAACCTCATCCAGCCTGGCCTTGAACACCTCCAGGGATGGGGCATCCACAGCTTCTCTGGGCAACCTGTTCCAGTGCCTCACCACCCTCACAGGAAAAAATTTCTTCTTTATATCTAGTGTAAATCTGCCCTCCTCCAGTTTAAGTCCATTACCCCCCATCCAGTCACTACATGTCCTTGTAAAAAGTCCCTCCCCATCTCTCCTGTAGCCCCCTTCAGGTACTGGAAAGCTTGTCTAAGGTCTCCCTGGAGCCTTCTCTTCTCCAGGCTGAACAACGCCAACTCTCTTAGCTTGTCCTCATAGGGGAGGTGTTCTAGCCCTCTGATCATCTTCATGGCCTCCTCTGGACCCACTCCAACAGCTCGACATCCTTCTTGTGTTTTGGGCCCAGAACTTATATATACTGCCGTGGTGGCTGGCTGGAGGTGGGACTCAACTTGGTATACCAGTTTGAATATCCTCACCAATGTGAGTCTGCAAACACATCCATGAAAGTTTAGTCTCTTTAATTTCTATGTGGATTAAAACATTTCCAGATTTGCAACTGAAAGTGCTTGAGGCACATCAGGGATGCACATCTGTAAGGCACATCTGTGCATCTGTTGATGAACATCTATAGGGCTGGCTCAGATTCGCAGAAGGGTTGGAAGGTGACGGAAAAGGCAACTCCTTGGCCAGATAAAGCACAAGGCACCACCGAGGAGTGCCGTTATGTCTCTGGACATGCACAGAATGACTGTTGGGAAGAACGCTCCCCAGACGGGGAGGTAAAATGCTTCAACACAGCAACAGCAGCACTGGATGCCGCCCACTGCGAAGCCTCGTTTTGCTGGGCCAAGAGGCTGCAAGTCTTTTATGGCCCTTTGAAGACACATCTTTCTCTGTTCTATTTTATTCAGCCTATATTTAAACTTCTCTCTCTGTATGTCCACTAGACCCAGTGACGCAAAAATCTGCCATCTCCTTTGAATCCCCCGATAGTGTGCTGCATTTTCTGGGACAGCAGTGCTCTCTGGGTTTAACTCCTAGGGACCAGACAGCAAGAAAAAATAAAAGCAATAACAAAGAAGCAACAAATCAGACTTTACATGGGGTCCCAGTGGCGACTGTTCAGCCTGTGGCTTATGGCTAATACAGCGTGAACAGATTAATTTTAATGAAAAATGACATTTTGTACCCCTGACACTGTATCTGAGGGTTTTTTAACTGCTCCTAATCTACGGACATATTTATTACAAGTGCTTTGAACTTGGCTTTGAGCAACTTGGTCTAGTGGAAGGTGCAGGGGGGTTGGAACTCGATGATCTCTAAGATCCCTTCCAACTGAAACTATTCTACGATTCTATGGAGCTAAATTCCACCTTTGACTCTGTTTTGACTCCAGTAGATTCTTGCTGCTCTGGCCATGGAGCCACATTCACAGGGAAGTCCCAGGTGACAGGAGACCTGCAGGACGGTGGGATACAGGACGCTCACAGCCAGCACTGGTGACATAAGGAGGACAGTGGTCCCCACCCGCAGCATCTTTGCAGCAAAGACTGGACACGAAATGATTGCTACCGACCACCTGCTTGGCTTGCAATGCTGAGCTCAGATGCTTTATTTTTCTCCTTTGCAAGAGTAGCTGTGCTATGAAAACCCCCAGTTCTCCCTGTGCATGCTGCAGATGAGCCTCCCATAGCCACTGGACATACTCTACCCCTCTACCACCCTTCTCCCTCTCCTATTCCCATGGAGATAAGCCTTAAATCTATCTCTTGCGAGGAGTATTTTTGCACTCCTTTGCTTGTCCCCTTTGGTAGCTTTTCTCCTTTCTGGCACAGGGTGGTTTGGGAGCTGGAAAGCAGCTAGAGACATGTCCTCTCTGCAGCCTGTGCTGCCCCATGCTCCCTGCCTGGGTGAAGGCTGAGCGCACAAGAAACATGCTGCAGGCTGAGAACTGGAGGATCTGAATTTATTTGCTAGATGTGCAACCAGAAGGGAACCCTCATCCTCCCAGTCCTTCTGTATCCTGACCCTGACTCATCTGCATCTGCAACAGATGCAGAAATGTTCAACCCACGTTAGCACAGAGCAGGACCCTGCTGCCAGCGTGGAAAGGCCACTGGAGACAGAGCTTGAATCCAGGGTGGAAAAGGTGATCTGACCTAAGGATGGGGCAGTGATGGTGGTTTGCTTCTGGCCTGATGTATCAGACTGGTTTTGGAGCAGGGAAACAGAGAACAGATGAGTAGGAAGCAGAAGCTGGTGCTCTGTGTCTGCAAGAGTGGGTGTAATATCAGTACTTGAGTAGCTCCCAATCATTTTCCTCTCAATGGTATTTTTCCTCCCCTGTAGACTTCGGCATTGAAAGGGTGTCTCAGGGAAGCTGGGGCTGTTTTAGTGAAGCAGGGAGCATTTCACCTCCAGAAAAAAAGGGGACTCATCAACCTCCTGAGCCCCAGGCTTGCACGGGGGGCTCTGCCAAGAAATGCAAAACCTTGTCAAAGTTTTCTTGCAAATGGTACCGAGACAGACCTTGAGAAACAGTTACCTCTGTGTAATGAAGAAAGAAGAGTCCTCCTGCTTATTCCTTTTAGTTTCCTGGCTGGTGTCTTATGGAAACAGAGTGAAAATGGACTTTGCAACAGTGGAGGTTGCAGGGATAGCATGAATGCACAAGGATGTTGCACAAGATGTATCAACACTCCGCTCTGCCCTTCCTCTTGCAAGTTGTCCCCAGAAAAGAGCAAATTACAAGTTCCCTGTCTCTCCCAGACGCAGAGGGCTCTGGGCATGCCTTGTTCATTTGTTTCTGCTTTCATTACATCTGCTTTTACAGCAGACAGGGCATCAAAATCAATCTTACAGCTGCTCCAAGGGAGAATGCAGCAAATCCCCAGCTGGGACCCAGTATAACAGTTAACCTGGTGTGAGTGAAGCTGTTGGCTTTTACCAGAGTGAAGGGTCTGGGATAATCATTACTTTTCCTTTCCTGCGCTCCCTGCCATGTGGAATAATCATTACTATTTTTTTTTTTTTTTCCTGCAGTCCCTCCCATGAAGGGATGGAGGAGGACAGAGTAACAGAAGAAATTGCTTGAAATGGTCTGTAAAACATCTGGGAAGGGAAATCCAGGAGTTCTGATTGCAACTCAAGGTCAGGAGAAGGGTTTCTGAAGGTTGTGGCTAGCTAGACTCCCAAATTTGCTTTTCTAGGCCTAACCTGCCCTGTCCTGTTAGTTCAGGGCATGTTTTGCACTTTCCAGAAATACATCCCGTCTCAACACATGAAGTCTGAGCCCTTCTGAACTCATTCCATAGCTTATTCTAGACAAAATTAAGTGCCAGCTCTCTGCAATTGCAAACCACACTCTGCTGAGCAAGTAGCAGGAACCAATGTCCATCTGCTGCCCTGACTCAGGAGATGACACCAAAAGTGGAAAGAAAATAAACCCAGCTCCTGATGGAGGCTTGCAGGGTTTTTGGAGGGTTATGCACAGGGATTTAATAGGGGCACAGGTTGTGTGGGAGCTTGAGGAAACCTGGGAAAAAAAGCATTGTCGAACTCCAGTGTGCATACAACCCCTGCTCTTGCTGAGGATGACCCCAGAGCACCAGCCTTGATGGCAAATGCCTGGTCCCTTCTGCTGCAGAGAGCTTCATCCTCTACTGCTCCCCACAGAGGAAAGGTGTAGGGGAAGATGTGGATCCTGAGGACCAGAAGCAGCTGAAGCTGAAGAACATCTGCTTAGCAGCTGGAAACGTGAAATTTGAGGGTTTTAGGTCCAGGTGCCCAAACTCTTGGCTTGAATCCACTTGAATTCACAGCATTGAAGATGGGCGAAAGCCACACATCAGCGAAGAAGGTTATTCCCAAGGCATCTAAGAGTTCACGAGGCAGCTTGGCAGAGAGAGGGGTGGGATGTTTTGGCTGGAGCATAGGCACTTACGATGTTACAGAGCACACTGGAGGAGCGTGCTGACAACCATGGCCATCAGACCCAGCGCTGCAGAGCCTCTTCCCACCCCGTTGGTGCTCCTGACTTCATCGGTGCAGAGGTCGGTGTAGCAGCATGATGTGTGTCTGGTCGCCCCTATTGCATTAGAGTGGATGCACTCGTCCGCACAGCCCCTCGTCACGGTCACATTGAGGAAAAAGGGGTAACCTGAAACAAGTAGATTGGAGAAGGGGAGAAGGAGAAGAGAGAGAAAGAAATGGTGAAGGAAGGTGCAGGCAGCTGGCATTGAGAAATGCTGACTTTATGCAGTGGAGGGGAATTACAAGCAAAGTGTTTATGGGTAAGTAAAGGCAAAGAAGGTGTTGAACATCTGTAATCCATGGGTGGCTGTAATCCACACTGCTCTTTGTAGGAATAGGTCTGCCAATTCTCCCTGATGACTCCCTTTCTCCCTCCTGCTCCTTCCAAATTTGTTCTAGCATAGGCAAGGAACACGAAACCTTGTTTATTTTGTTCAGATGACTTGCTCCTGTAATGGCTCTGCATAGAAGGTAGCAGTGCCAAGAAGCACTGGTGTAAAGTTGTCATGGTCACTGGTGAGACAGTTGGTGTTAGGTGAAAGCGTTTACAAGCAAGGAGAGAGCCCCTGGGTTTCTGCAGTATGTTTGCACACATCTGTAGGTTCAGGGTCCATTAGAGTGTAGGGGCAGGAAAGGCAAAACAGAGTAAGACCTGTATACCTCACTATGAGGCTCTGAATCTGATGGATTTCTCTCCTTCCTACTCTAAAGTTGGATAACTCCACTTGGATTCTTATTGAGAAGTTAAAGGATAATCCAAGCAGAGACTGGGAGGGAGAGAGGGAAGCATGGCCAGCAAGTCAAGGAAGGAGATTCTCCCCCTCTACTCCACTCTGGTGAGATCCCACCTGGAGTACTGTGTCCAGCTCTGGAGGCCTCAGTGCAAGAAAGACATGGACATTTTGGAACAGGTCCAGAGGAAGCCATGAAGTTGATCAGGGGGCTGGAGCACCTCCCTTATGAGGACAGGCTGACAGAGTTGGGGTTGTTCAGCCTGGAGAAGAGAAGGTTCTGGGGAGACCTTATAGCAGCCTTCCAGTGCTAAAAGGGGGCTTATAAGAAAGATGGGGACAGACTTTTCAGTAGGGCTTGTGGTGATAGGACAAGGGGTAGTGGATTTAAACTGGAAGAGGTCAGATTTAGATTAGATATTAGGAAGAATTTTTTTACAATGAGGGTGATGAAGCACTGGACCAGATTGCCCAGCGAAGTGGTAGATGCCCCATCCCTGGAAACATTCAAAGACAGGTTGGACAGGTCTCTGAGTAACCTGGTCTTGGGGAAGATGTCCCTGCTTATTGCAGGGGGGTTGGACTGGATGACCTTTACAGGTCCCTTCCAACCCAAACTTTTCAATGATTCTTTGGTCTCTCCCCAGGAGCACTCACAGCAAGCAACGAAACTTACCTGAGTCTACAGAGTGCATCGTTGTTGTGCACACCCTGGCTGACGGGGGGCATATGGTGATTGTTCTGCATTCAGCAATATCCTTTTGGTTCCTGCACGTATAACATCGTAAGGACTGGGCTGCAGAGGGAAACAGAAGCAGGTCTGAGTTGGTTACAACAGCAAAAGCAAGTCTGCAGCTTCTCTGCTCTGTGGTGGGGACCATGTGACAAGTCAGTCCTATTCATCCCGCCTTGATGCATTTGGTCTCGGAAACTAATCACATCTGGAGGCAATGGCAAAGCTTGGATATGTCAGGGGGAAAAGAACAAACCCCAGCACCGAAGGGCAAGGATGGTGTTGTGGGAGTTGAGTGTGATCACTGCCTTGGGGGCTCAGTAACCCAAAAAAGAACAGGGATCTAGAGGGATCTGTTGCTTTAGCAGCTTTGATAAGATCTTTGCATCCTCTGTAAGAAATGCTGTAACCCAGAGCAAAATAGCTCCTTCTGTTGAGAGCAGCATTCAGCAGCACTGAAAGACTGGCAGTTAGTTCCCCCATCCCTCCACCCACAGTGACGGCCCCTTTGTGCTTGTTTAGGGGGATTTCTGGAGAACTTAGCAACTGACAGCAGAATTTAAATTTCAGAGCTGTATTAGAGATCCTAAGGGCTGAACGTAGCCTAAACCTCACTTTCATCAGGGACTGCTGCTGCTTTTTAAAACAGATGATGCTGCAAAGCTCTTACTGCCTGCCTGCCAACACAGGGACACAACATATGCAAGCATTGATCACAGCAGTTGCTCAAGAGTCTCAGTACAAGACCTGTCCATCCGCAGCCAGCAGATATTGTGTGTGCCTATGTTTTTGGAGTCTTGCTGATGTAGCTTGATGACAGAAAACAGCTTGGTTCAATATTTGCTATTCTGCGTGCCTTCTACTAACAAGACAGCTGAAGAACCACCCAAATGTGTCCACTGCCATCTATTGGTAAAATTGCAGAGAGCCAATTTTTTTTCTTCTATAGTTCTGCAACATCTATTTTTAGAGGGAAACCTCTGGAACTTTGTGGTAAGGATAAATATTTTTGAAGGCAGTTGTTTGAACATCTGACTCTAGAAAGAATTTTCAGGTCATTTATTTCTCTTAACACCTCCTTTGGAAAAATGCAATAGGGCGAAACCTTTTTTCCTGGCCTCTTTGCAGATGTAGGAAGGACTATTTAATGTGAGCAGTGGTGGTGTTCTTGTGGCCATATCCTTTGTAAACAGGTGTGGTGGAGCCATCCCTGTTTAACAGAGCTCAGGACTTCAGTAGATCCCTTCCATATGGACGATGAGATGTTGTCTTATATTTTAACAGACAGCCTAATAGCTGCCTTCCAGTGCTGAAAGGGGGCTACAGGAGAGAGGGGGAGGGACTCTTGATCAGGGGGTGTAGTGATAGAACAAGGTGTAATGGTTTTAAGCTGAAAGAGGGGAGATTTAGATTGGATATTAGGAGGAAACTTTTTCCTGTGAGGGTGGTGAGACACTGGAACAGGTTGCCCAGAGAAGCTGTGGATGCCCCATCCCTGGAGGTGTTCAAGGCCAGCCTGGATGAGGCTTTGAGCAACCAGGGCTAGTGGGAGGTGTCCCTGCCCATGGCAGGGGGGTTGGAACTCGATGATCTTGAAGGTACCTTCCAACCCAAATCATTCTATGATTCTGTGAAAAGAGAAGTACTAAGCAGAGAGGACAGTGCTGTGTCCTGATCTAAGGCAAGCATTTCACTCTTCATCAGTGTCTGACAGCAGCTTCTACCACTTGACTTCAAACCTCCAGGAATAAGTGGTATATTTTGAGTCACAGACGTACTCCTGAGCTGCAAGAGCTGTGACTAGACCAGCTGCTTCCCACTGGATCATCGCAGAAAAACCATTTCTGCCTCAGTCTCAACTATAAATCAAAGGGTGACGATGCCTCTCTGTTTCCCTAAGGTGCTTTGAGATCTGTGGGTAAAAACCTGCTTTGTCAGTTCCTCAGCAACCCCATTAAATCGAGGACATAACTAGACTCATACAGAGGAAAGGAAACAGATAATATGGCACCTGTGAAAGATCCTGAAAGAAGGAAAGGAAAAAAACCAGTAGGTACTGAAATATTAAAAAATTTCAGTAGCTGTGTAAAAGTAACAGCTCCTGTCCTGGTTCAGCCCTATAGTGAGTTTGACCCAGAGCGAGTCCCTCAGCCAGAACTGGGTTCGCTTTAGAGACAGGTGGAAGGACAAATGAGGGCAGGGCGATTAAAAAAAATCAATGCAGCCTGAAGAAGAGTACAAACATGCTTCCACACATAAACGCTTGCAAGGCATATGTCTTCAAGCCTTCTTCCACTTGCAACATTCTGAATGATCTTCACGCATCCATGCCTCCAGATGGAGCTGTTTGATCCCTCACCAGGCTGCCTTTACTTTGAGAGCTTTCAGAGTCCCATGAAAACAGTCTGAGGACCTCTGGGGCCCATGGACTGTAGGTTAAACCCCATTGAGTTGGTGTCACCCCAAAGATGAGTCTGTTCTATTTGCATTGGGTCACAAATAGATGGAGGAAGAACACAGCCATGATCAGACCCTGCTGCCAGTTTATCCATCAGAGACCAAACCGAAAGAGACCCAGGGGAATTTCCAATCTCCACCTATCTCCTAGTCTCCAGAAATAAGTGAAAACCCTGAATCTGGTGGTTTAATTAACCTCTCCAAAGTCCCTAGAGTTATTTCTCATGTCCTCACTCGTATCTGTACTGAAGCCTCTCCCTCTGGTTTTCAGTGCTTCCAGCAGCCAGCCAGGAGGTTTTAGGGATAACAGGAGCTCAGGATGAACATAGAATCATAGGATGGTTTGGGTTGGAAGGGACCTTCAAGATCATCGAGTTCCAACCTCACTGCCATGGGCAGGGACACGTTTCACTAGTCCAGGTTGTTCAAAGGCTCATCCAGCCTGGCCTTGAACACCTCCAGGGATGGGGCATCCACATCCCATTCTCTGGCCAAGCTGGGCCAATGCCTCACCACCCTCATAGTGAAGAATTTCTTCCTTATATCTAATCTAAGTCTGCCCTCTTTCAGTTTAAAGCCATTACCACTTGTCCTATCACTACATGCCTTGCAAAAAAGTCCCTCCCCATCTCTCCTGCAGGCCCCCTTCACATACTGGAAGGCTGCTATAAGGTGGGCCTGGAGTCTTCTCTTCTCCAGGCTGAACAACTCAATTCCCCAACATATCCCATCCTGTCCCTGAGGAGACAGGTCAGCAGCTTAAGCAGAGGCTGTTGGCTTAAGGTTTTGCCCATGATTCTATTGCCCTGTGCCATGTTGCTGTCATTTACACCTTAGTCTCATAAAGCAGTGTGTTGGTCCCCTCTATCTCAGGGTATGATGTGAGCAGGGTCGGGTGACAGGCGACCATCTATGTATCTGAATGATGTGCATTACTCTCAGACAGGTCTCACAGCTCTCCCCACCAGGAATGCACATCCCCTTTCCCCATTCATGTTCTCCATTGACTTTAAATACATAAAGGTGTTATTTCCCCTATGTGGGGATTCACAGGTCTTTCTGCTTTGATGCCTTTCCCCTCCCCTCCTAGGCATTTTCCAGGGGGTCCCTGCAGCATTGGGAATGCAGTGGTCTTACCCAACTCCACGGATGCCAGGCCAAGCAGGAGCCCAACCAGAAGTGTCTTCATGTTGAGAGCAGATCCCTGCAGCCAGGACAGCAAAGGAGAGCTGCTCCCAGGGAGCTTTATATGTTTTCCCACCCTCCACCTCCTGTTGATCCTGTGGGCGGATTCCCTCGGGGTAATCAGAGGAGAGCTCAGCTCCAGTCTGGATTGGGATTTGTAGAGCAACGAGTTTCCCGAGGAGGTGACATCACCGCTATGAGAAGACTCATGCCATACGTTGTCTCTTCTTCAGGTTCATGTCCTGGGGTTTGTCCCATGGAAAAAAACCAAAAACACTGTTTGCACTGCAAAGGGATGGCCCCAACACCGGTGCTTGGATGGGGTATGGGGCAAGGTATGTTTGGTATTTTATACTTCATGGGAAATGCTGATAGACTTTTTGTGATGTTTTTGTTGTCATCCAGGGTGGAAAAACTCCAGCGTTATGCAATTTCCTGTAAAACTGCTGAATAAACCACAGAAGAGAAATTTGTGAATCACTGTGAGGTACTCAGAGACTTCAGGGATGGAGACAAGATGAGTGCACAAGCTGATTTAATGACTCGGGGTTTGCTTGTCACGGGCTCATTGTGGCATTGCTACCATTCCCAGCAGCCTCTCGTTTTTCCCAGTTCGAGAATGGGGCTTTTTGGAAAAGTGCTTCTCCCTAAAGGGTTTGCAGTAACTCAAGAAGCATCACTAATGAAAATTTTCACAGTCATGGATGACACAGAACCCATCGAGCTGGGGCAGCAGGATCAGTACTGTGCCATGGGAAAAGCAGGGAAAGATGTAAACCATAACGCTCACTTGGCTGAGAGAGAAAGCCATAATTTATCTTTATTTTATCTTGCGTGCTGTCAGACACCAGGTACACAAAGAAAAACAGTGCAAACATATCTCCCTGGATATCTAGAAAAGACTCTGCTCTGTGAAAGCCACCAGACCTGGTCACATCCAGATCCTTTCTTGTAACTGGGCAGTTCAAGGCACATTTGAGCAATATCTTAATTAAAAGCCATGAAACTGGAAAAGATCCAGTGCTTTAAGCATTCAAGGTGGTTATGTCTTAATAGGCAAGCACAGTGGGGTTCACACTCGGGCGTTCACAAATCTAAAAAGCTGCTTGGTGGATTGCGTGGAGCTTGCAGAACTGGAGATGTCCGTGCTGGCGTGTTTTAATGGTCTGCCTGTGCTTGAAAGGTACTGCATACTGTAAAAGCTTTGGAATAAATCAGTGTGGTTGAAGAAATAGTGAAATAAATAAGAAAATAAATGAGTCTGTCCAGCTTGGTGAAGGGTGTCCATCACTGCGCTGTCTGGATGTGGAATGCATCAGCACGGTAGGATTGTTCACCCCTGGCCAGTGAAACTTAACTCTGTCTAATGGCTTGAAAAGGTTTGAGATTTGGCTGTAAGGCAGAACATCAGGAAACCACCAGAGCGGGGGTTGTTAAAGCTCCTGAAGATTGGATGAGTGTGCGGGAGATCCAGACATCAGGGAGAGAGAAGTTGGGAGCGTGCCAGGAAAATTGTGGAGGAAAAGGAGGACCTACAGGTATTAATTGATCTAAAAGATAACTAGGAGCCTGTAGTGAGATGGAGCCCAGAAAAAACAAAACCAAACACAAGGACAGGTGATGTCAAGTTGTGTATTAGGGTGTGAAGGCGGCTGTTAGCAGAATTATGGAAGTGCTAGCACCCTGGCTTGAAGCCCTGGTGGCTTCTCATCTGGAATTCCATTGCCCCTGCCAAGAAAAAATGGGGTCTTGATGGGAAAAAAATGCAGATGGAAACTAATGGTAAGACTGTGAGAACAGGATTCACCCTACAAGGTGACACTGGAAAACACTGGCCCCTTTTAGTTTGGCAGAGCAGAGGTTGAGTGGAGATTATTTTCCTCCCCCCCCCCGAAATACATTGAAAGCACTGAAAACAGAGCAACAGAAAGAAAAAAAACCCTTAAACTAAAATGTCACACTGGACTAGAGCTGAGTTAAGACTTGCATTAGTTAAATTACTCTGGCAATCAGAGGTACGGTTATAAACACTAGGAAAATTGGGTCCCTTCTAAAAGCAAAGGCAGGGTAGAAATCCAACCTGCTTTAAGGTGGAGCTTGATAAATATGTGAAAGAAGTGGTTTGATATAGGAGTTAGGACAGCCTCAGAGAGCTTGAAGGACTCAGGAAGACTTAAATTCCCATCTGTCTTTGTCAGTGGCAGAATAAACCCTGAACAAGGTTTTGAACACTGACTGACAGGAATCATAAGGGACTCCAGTTGAAATGTCATTTCAGGTCTGAAGATCTGAGAATATAGATGAGGTGTGGTGTGTAGGGAGAAAGGCTTCTGTGCCAAAAACCTCTCTGAATTTTTAGTGGTATCAATTGAAAACCACTACCAACCTACCCCTGTTAGACTGTTCTTATTTATAAGGTAATCTAGGTAGATATAATCTCACTGTTTATCACATAAGAAAGGAAAGGCAGACAAAGTAAATTCAGAGTTCATAGACAAGAATGTGCTTTATTAACTATCTGATCTAATTTCCATTACAGTTAATTTTTGTTTGAATGAAAAATAAACCAGGTTTTGTACAGATGTCCTGTGACAGGGAGTGTACACCAAGATTTGATAAACTGTTCCAGTGGTTGCTTGTCAGTCACGTGTAAAATAATCTCTGCATAAAGTATTTCTCCTCTGGTTTACACAGACTGGATCTCGTTACAGCCAGTGGCTCTTGCTAAACCCCTCTTCTAAACTTAATTGCTCACTGTTGCAATTTTCCTCTCCCCCATGGAGATTCATTTTGTCTATGATATCCTTTTGATAGACTTTGATGGACTCTTTGACTCCTTCCTTCCCTGGAAGTTCATAGAATCATTGAATAGTTTGGGTTGGAAGGGACCTTTTAAGGTCATGTAGTCCAACTCTTCTGCCACTGTCAGGGACAACTTCACCTAGACCAGGTTGCTCAGAGCCCCATCCAACCTGACCTTCAATATTTCCAGGGATGGGGCACCTACCACCTCTCTGGGCATCCTGGTCCAGTGTTTCACCACAGAATCACAGAATGTTAGAGATTGGAAGGGACCTCGAAAGATCATCTAGTCCAATCCCCCTGCCGGAGCAGGACACCTAGATCAGATCACACAGGATCTATTTTAGTTTAAAACCATTACCCCTTGCCTTATCACAACAGGCTCTGCTAAAAGGTCTGTTCCCATCTTTCTTATAAGATCCCCTTAAGTACTGAAAGGCCCCAAGAAGGTCTCCCTGGAGCCTTCTCTTCTCCAGGCTAAACATCCCAACTCTCTCAGCCTGTTCTTGCACAGGAGGTGCTCCAGCCCTCAGACCATCTTTGTGGCCTCCTCTGGACCTGTTCCCCAGGTCCATGTCTTTCTTGCACTGAGGACTCCAGAGTTAGATGCAAGTACTCCACATGGAATCTCATGAGAGTGGAGCAGAGGGGGAGAATCCCCTCCTTCAACCTGCTGGTCACACTACTGGTGACGCAGCCCAGGACACGGGTGGCTTTCTGGGCTGTGAGTGTGCATTGCTGGGTCATGTCCCGCTTTTCATCCACCAGTACCCCCACGTCCTTCTCTGCAGGGCTGCTCTCAGTTAATTCATGCCCCAGTCTATACCAATGCTGGGGGTTGCCCTGATCCAGGTGGAGGACCTTGTACTTGGCCTTGTGGAACCTCATGAGGTTCACATGGGGCCCACTTCTCAAGCTTGTCCAGATCTCTCTGGATGGCATCCTGTCCCTCAGGCATGTCAGCCACACCACTCAGAATTGGTGTAATTGCAAACTTGCCGAGGGTGCACTCATAGTGACATAGTCCCACTGTCTATGTCACTGGTGAAGATATTAAACGGTACTGGTCCCAGTACGCACCCCTGAGGGATACCACTTGTCACCAATCTCCATCTGGACATTGAGCCATTGACCACTATCCTCTGGATGTGACCATCCTGACAATTCCTCATCCACTTGAATCACCTCCCTCCACATGCCTTAGGATAGCTTCTAGAGGGTCTGCTCCAAGATCTACCCAGGCACAGAGGTGAGGCTGATAGGTCAGTAGTTCGCAGTAATTCCTTTGAGGTAATTTCATTGATGTTTCCCTGTTGGCTTCAATAACTTCAGGAGACCCTGGCTCATGTCCATAAGACTTCGAGTGTGTTGCAGTGTACTCAGTAAGTCTCACAGCAACAGGCTGAGGGCTCTCACTGGCACCCGTCCTTCTAGCCTTGGTGTGTCATCCCACAACTTGTCATGGGCAAACCTGATACTATCCTCCTTCCACTTCAAGTCTACTTAAAAGGTCTGTCAATGGGCCCCACTAGCTCTTGAGTGAAAACCATCTTCCCTCTTTGAGAAAGATCAATCTCATCTGATGCCAGCAAGCCTGGTGCCATGTGGGCCATCCCATTATCAAAAAATCCCAAATTATGTTGGTGACATCCGCCATGGGCCACAAATTAATAGACTGGGTGTATCTGTTTCTTCCAGTGCTGCTGCTCGCAACTGGAAGGAGAGAGGAAAAAATAACCTGTGCTCCAGATTCCCCTTCCAACCATCCCAAAGGCCTGAAGTCTCTTTTGATCATCCTTGGACTATGTTTTGAGGTGTCATTGCCACCCACATGGAAGAGCAGAAATGGGCAATAGTCCAAGGGCCATACCAGGCTATGAAGTTTCCTGGTGATGTCCTTAACCCAGACCTAAGGGAGGCAGAAGACTTCCCTAAGAGGAGGGTTTTTCTGGCATATTGGACCCTCTGTTCCCCTCAGAAGGGAGTCACCTACAACTATAACCCTTCTTTTCTTCCTTGGTGGTCATGATACGGGAGGTAGGCCTTTCTGACCTTGGCAACATCTCTGATGTAGATGGACCATCATCCACATCGTCTGTTGACTGGCCTTCCACATCCAGAGCCTTGTACCTGTTGTACAGAGGCATCTGGGCAAACAAGGTTGGCAAGGAGGGGGTTCGCCTGCTGCCCTGATCATGAGCT